CAGGAATAATTAATTGCGTGGCATATATAGCGCAATTCGCATGACACAGTGTGTCTCTCGGATGAAATTAAGGTCGGCTATTTATTAAATAGACGCGGATAGAAAGAGAGGGTGAAATTAATTGAGAGCGCTAACGAGACCATTAGAGGGAATAAGGAGAAGTCATTGGGCGCGAAATCCGCTCAATTATTGCCCCATTTGCCGCAAACAAGCATCGATTCTTTGAGACACTGCAGCGGAGAGAAAGTTTGCCGGCGAAGAGCGGAGACAAGGCATGGAAAAGTTGCGTCTCGCAAGCTAAAGTCAAACAAGCTACGCAATAAAAGACTCCTTTTCTTCATAGACACACACCGAGGGTAATAATAAGCGGAGTAATCAGTTACTGGAGCGGCGGCTTCTTTGTTCGTCTACTTAACACGTCTTAAAAGCGGAGGCAAAGTTGGTGCAAAACTGTGCGCGCGGCCTCAGCTGTGTGGATCCAGCCGACCTCATGTTTCATGTAAATACACAAGCCCCTCCCTTGGCTCTCAAGGGAATGCAAAAGTGGAGGGTCAGGTGCAGATTACAACGCCATGTATACCTTATTTTTATAACCAAACACCACCAGCCATTGCGCACTCGCACATGCATGCCAGGAAACGTTTTTTTTTTCGTGAAGAGTCGACAAAATAATTCCCTTTTCGAAGTTCCGCAGTTTTTAGTTTTTGTCTCCGCGAGAATTCAGTGCAGGTTCGGAAAAGTGAGCGCGAGGGAGTGCAGCAACGGAAGAGGGTGAAATTTTTAATAAAATATGAAAGTGGAAAGAGAGACGCAGAATACAAATTGCAAGAATAAACGCAGACGGGGCAGTAAAAAAGCTGCACAGTTTTTAGCGTCCCTCGCATTTACGGACGCATCGGCACGACCTGGCGAATTCGGTGTAATTTCCCAAACTCTCGCATTATCGATGGCGCAGCAAGGGCGAAATCAAATTTGGCGGTAATCAAAATATCAAGCGGCACTCCGAGTGCGCGCGTGGCCAGCCGAAATTCGCAAGTCCGCAGACTGCATTAATAATTAATGAGTGCAACTCGGTGTATATCAGAGGGAGAGGCTGGGTCAAAGTTGGTTATTTAAAAGGCCGGCCCGGTGAACTCCGACAGACAAATTCTTGATGATGGCCGGTCATTTTGCTGGAGCCAACCGTAATTTTAGACAAACAGGAAAAGTCGAGAGAGGCGAGTAGGAAGTTGCAGGGTGTGTATGTGAGCGCTCTCAGCGGTCGGTCGGCGTTGTTGTTCAACATTTATTGGTGGCCTGCTACTGCATTATTCAGTCCCTTCATGGGGAGACACAGTGTATGGCTATCTGCATAGCAGTAGCATCTGGCCACGGCACGACCATCTCCGCACCCTCTCCTCTTTTCGCACGCGCCTTTCCGACATTCCAAATCTGCCGCTCGCTGCGAATTCAAAACTGAGCAAACAAACTCAACAATTTTTTTTTAAATAAAATAAAATCATTTGCATAAAAAAAATGGAACAAAAATTAATGCATTTTAGTAAAATGGCATGTTTTTAAATATGAAATTGACCTAATAAATTTATGAAGAAAATGTGTTTATTTTTAATAATCTCTTTCTAAATATGCAAATTTATAAAATTGAAGCGCATATGTTTTAAAAATAAAATCGAATTCATTTAATAAATTTTACTATAGATGCAAGTCCTATTGATGAAGATTAGTGTCTGTGGTAAAATAGACACGCCATAAAAATGCAGGGAGGCGTCGCGCGACCGAAAAAGAACAGTTTGGGCGCGCGCGCGGCTGCAATAAATTCATTTGCTTTTACAGCCGTGCCGCGGAAAACCGCAATACCAGCCAATATAAACACACACCTTGCGCCTCGGCTGCATGCTAGAATTTTGATTTTTATGGTTTAACGCACGTCGGGGAGCACTTGCGGTGAAAATTTAACATGCCCACGCAGCGCACCGCAAAAATAATATCTTGCGAGTGCAGTCGGTATAGTCGCTTCAAGAAGGGGTCCAGTGCAATTTTGGTTCTGTGAATAACAGACCAACTGACTACATGTTAAATTAAATTAAATTTTCCTTAACAATTATCAAAGTCAACTAAAATTTATGTACAGCCAAGCCATATTTGTGACTCATTGTCAGCTGCTAAAAGTTTGGGTTATTGATTTGCAAATTAATTTGTGATATTTTTAACAATTACATATAAGTAGAGATATCAATCAAGGGCACATGCCGACAAGACTGTGTCTTGGCCTGACCCTAAAAATTCTTTCTTATTTGGTTTGTTTCTAAAGTTTGTAAAATTTAAAATTTCGAAGGATAATTTTCTTTAATTTGGTAAATATTTTACAACGGCATGAGTGTACGGATTTGTTTAAATAAATGAAACTATAAAAAAAAAATTGAGAAAACAAGTAGCTTCATTTTTAGCCTCGTAAGAATCTGTCTCGATCAACTTTTTTCTATGACGCTCGGAACGTTACCGACTGAAATGAACGGGCCTATTACATAGTTTCCTCTGTAAGCTCAATAAAGTGGAGAGACCATTAAGACTCTGATCTGATCCAGAAGATTATTGAATAAAATGGCCTCATTAAATAATTTTTTTAGTGCAAATTTTTTTTTTTTGTTTAATTCATATTATTCTACTTTTTTAGCTGAAGGACTCGATGCACTTAAGACAAATTGAGGGACATCGCTAATGGGTCATTGAGAAAGACGCGCGTGGTGCATTTCGAGGGGGTTGTCATATCAGCCGAGTTTGCTCCTCTCCCGTATAATGCCACGCATGAACGATTCTGCGGTGCTGTAAGCCAGTTGAAGAGAGCGGCGCGCGCGGGCAAGCACAAAGCGCATAATACAGACATCATGTTAGCTTTACACTTCAAGTAACTCCAATTGCGCTATACATATCCGTCTGCCGCTGATGGCCGCGTCGACCCCGCCGCCATAATTAGCCATTCCGTGCTAAATGAGACAAAGTTTGAGCGGAAAAAGTTTCACGAGTATTTAAATTGCGCTGCGATATATTGCCATGGCGCTTTTGTACTCCGCGGCCTCACCCACCAAAACAGAAAATGTAAAAAAGTGTAACTAAAAAAAAAGGTTAATTTTCAACTGAAGCTACGAAACTAGTCGCACAGTGAATGAATTTTTTCATATATGAAATTCTCCGGCCGCGAGTAAAAAATCAGGAATATATTACGTTGGTAAAAAATATTTGAATCAACCCTTCAACCGTGAATATCTAATAGATATTATTAAAAAAAAAATCCTGAAAAGGAAAAAATAATTATCAAATACTTTTGCCTACCTTATTTGTTGTTCGCCAAACGGAAGAGGTGCTCGTCTTTCCTGTAATCAAAGCAAAAAAATATCTATTAAATTAAATTCATACGAAAGGAAGAAAACGAAAAACAAAGAATACCAATTGTTTCAAATTCAAACTTAACTTGCCGCTGATCTGCGGTGCCAGAAAAATCATGTAATTTTTTATCGTCGTTACTATATAATTAAATTATTGGAAATAAATTTAGAATCAACACTAACAGGAAACGCGATGAGCATGGTTTAAACCGATGAGCATAATTGAAAGCTCTTCAAAGTGATCAGTGCTCATTTGCGCAACCAGCGAATTTAATATTCTTGATCGCGTTAGTCCACCGAGTCCAAGCTTTGGATTTAGAGAAGCAAATTCGATATTAATGTGGTGTTCACCATGTTATGATGATTGAAATGCTCGAATAGAAAAAAAAATTGGATTAATCAAGGCATCGGTGAATTGCAAACTGCAGCAGGAGAACCGCGCAAATCCCCGATTTGCGTTTCCGCGCCGTGTTCGTATAATATTTGAAACGAATCATATGCAACGCGTGTGTGAATGTGTTCACTTGGAGGGATGTGTGACAGAACAGAGATTACATTCATATAATTATATATAATGTACTCTTGCACGCAGTCACACATAACACAGCGTGTCATTTACACGGGATATATGTGCAAAAACTGATGTGTTTGTGTAGCACCGAAAGTTGAAATGTCACCCCCAAAAACCCAAGCATGCTCTCAGCCTCATTCTGAATGTTCCAACGGCAGCTCATCACATTGTCAGATGTATCAAAAACGTGCCAGAATGTAAGGGGAAATTTTCGTATACTTATTTGCAGGTTCTTCCCACACTGGGATCCAGCAATAATAAAAGTATTTCCTTGTTTTCAAAATCACTCTAAATAATTTGGAATGCAAAGATTACGATATGAATAAGAAATAATTTTATAAAATTTAAGAATTGCTGAGAGAAAATAGAGAATATTTGATTAATTAGAAAAAATGAATCTGGATAAAAAAAAAACATCGTTGCAAAATTTTAAAATAAACCATATTTGATTTTTTTTTTAAATGTATTAACAGCATGGAAATTAAAAATATAAAAAATCTTCGATTTAGGTTCACAATTAAATTTCGAATCGAATCTATCTTGAAAAAATCTCAAAAATATATTTCATCCTATAAAATATCAAATTTCCTCCAAAGTTTAATAATTTTAAAAACAATTCTGACGGCATTGCCAGTGCGAAAAAAAAGAAAGATAGTTTAATTGGATACATTGTTCTACTTGAGCTTATATTTTAAAATAAAAATGTTCTTTGATATGAAATATTTGTTGCAAAATGTCTCATAACTCAGCTCCTGATAGATTTTTTTTAAATAAAAAATAAAAATTTACATCAGTTCATCATCTATCAATGCTGCAAAAAATACGAAGTTGATTGTTAAACGCATAATAATAAAAATTTGTGCTCGGCGCGATTTCCTTTACTTTTTTGTGCCTGCTGCACGATTCACGTCTCTCGTCGCTGTCCAGACTTGTTCGCTCTCGTCTTCGAGGATGGAGCAGCGGCGGGAAAGTGTGTCGGCGTCGCCACGGCATTCCTGCTTCAAAAAAGAACAACATGGCGGCTGCGCATGAAAAAATGTTCCTTGGCCGAAAGTTCACTCGCTGATTTCGACGACGAATGTGACGAAACCAGCGAATGGCCGACACACGATGCAGGTGGTTTTTGACTGCATAATGGAAATGCGGAAATGCACGAACGAGATACAGACAGGTAAGCCCTCCTTTTGAAGTTATAATTTTAAAACGCTTTCAATTCTGCAAATTTAGAATCTCATGCGGTCCGAACAGCTTCTGCGAGTGAAAATTTCGGCGTCGGTCCGCATTTTTTTCAACTTAATATACATAAATGCAAGCAAAATGGCCCATAGAACATGGAAATCGCACGTTTAATCCAGTCTTATTTTCCTATCTTACCTGGCCGTGTGTTGGGGTCCTGATCATCCGCAGGGTCCGAATTTTGGCAACACGCACTGGGAACCGAGAGTCGAAAGCCCAAAGCCCCCAAAATTAATGTTCCGTTTTGATCAATCACGATCACGACATCACAAACCGGGTTAACGGAAGAACTGAAAATAATGGGAACAATGACAATAATCCTCCTCCCCCTCCCCCTCCCACTCTTGCTGGCCGGCGGCCGCGCTTGAAAACGAGAGTGAACTTGCCAGGACGGGGTTGAGCGACGCTCAAGAGTCTGTCCCGCCTTTTTTGCTCTTGTAAAGAAAGAATTTTTAAATAACCCATTTAGCTATTTAGGTAATTATATGAATTACATCAATTACATAAAAAATATAAAATATTTAAAAAAAAAAATAATAACAATTGAAATATACCGTACTTGTACTTTTTAAACAGAAGATAATGTAGATTTTGCTAAGAATTCTGCAGAAAATTAGTGTATTGATCAAAATTTAAAATTTAAATCTCGATATTCTTGAAATTTTACTGATATTTTTTTTTGGGCCGAGAAAAAATGACACAGTAAATAGAATAATGAACAAAAAATACAATTTTTTATTTAATTTTCAGTTTCTTATTATTAATAATCAATTATTTTAATTTGGTTCAACTTTTAAAACAAAAAATTATAAATGATTATTATTATTATTACATAATACTCAATAATACTATACAAATATTGAGAAAAAAGTGTCAAATCCTCGTTGAGTTAAAGTTAGGATCACTGAATAAATCAATTTTAAATAAAATTTTTAATTTTTTTCACAGTATTTTACATTTTTACTATTTAATTGGTTTTCCTTTTCAAATAACTTTTTTCTTTGGAAATATTGTGTTAAATTTGTACCAGCAAACATGAATTAAAATTGTATTTGTGAATATAAAAAACACAATAAAAAAATCAGTGTTCAATTCAAACGGACAAAGTTCAAATCTAGGTTGAATGGAGGCCGATGTAAGCAATGGACATTGCATACGTATTGTGTGTATTTGTTTGCATCAGGTATGACCACAGCACACAAATTGGAAAGTCTGGCGAGGGTCCAACACACATTCAGCCAGCTTCAATTAATTAATTGTACTCAAGAAAGGGGTTTGCTCGAAACAAATTCATTAGACTGCGGAATCCCCGGACTGCACATTCGCTCGTGCTGCTGAATATTAATTAGAAGGGACACATCATTCACACGGGATTCGAATTCAACCCTAATTGATATTGCCTTTGACGAGTGGCAGGGCAGCCCATGCTTGTTTGCACTTCTCCTTCTTTTAGAACGCGCGTGCGGCCTCAATTCCAAACAAGAATATGCATATAATATCGTGAAAAAGTGCAGATCTCTAGTCAAGCAACCCTTCTCGCCTCCTTTTAATGCAAACATCTGGTGAAAATCCACCGTAATGGGCGTCGCTGGCGTGTTTCAATAAAAAAAAAGGAAAGCGTGGTGCTCGGAAGGCCAGGATTTTATATGTGCAATACATTTTTTATTGCCGCGCGCACCGTATTTTTACATCTAAAACAGCTCGAGGTTTTTTGCAGTGCAAGAGCAATATTGAGCTCGGTCTTGTCGCTCAGACTCTGGCTTTTTCTTTGATTAAATCCACCGCAATCATTACTCTGCACCAACTTATTGTGCGAAGGAGGAAACAACAAAGATATTTTTACCAGAAAAAGAGCAATTTTACCTTTGTTTTTTTGAAAAAATTGATTCCTTCGCATTTATTGCGTCAATACAACTGTAATTAAAATTAAATTTTTTGCTGCTAAGGATCAAGATAGAAGTCTGTGCACACCTTTTTGTTAATTTAAACATTTATTATCGCATTTTTTGAATTTTTTCTTTCAATTACGTTGGAAGGTTAAAGGTAGGCAAAATATTTACACGGATGACACTTCTTTTGCCTACATTTTAATTAATATATTTTTATTTTTATTCAAATTAGCATTCCAAGGTAAAACTTAATAGCCTTTCCAGAGGGAGACCCGCGATTATCATAATTTCAGATGTCCTAAAAGTTAAAAAAAAATCATTTGTTCTAAATTTTTCGTCCTTCATTTCTCCTAAATGCATTTCCAGGGTCCCACCAACTTTTATCAAAATTGGGTGTGTCATCACAAAAACATAGCTTGTTAAGATCCGAATCCCAATTTTATCCAGCATATTAAAATTTGGATTTTTCACTTTGCAAACGGAAGCCATTTTTCGGCTAAAAAAAATAAAACTGGCAGCAGAGCAGAGAGCGGCGTTTTAAACCTGGCAAAAATCCCTGAGAGCTAATGAAATTTATGTCATCAAATATAAAACCCTTGCTCGGCGTGTGCGCAGATTTACTTTTCACGTCGCACCTCGGGCACTTTAATCTTAAGTGGAAATCTAACTGGCATGCACATGCTGAATATGTAAATGCCGGGCAAACGGACTTGGTGAGCGAGAGCAACTCAAAGGGTTACTCGACGAAATCCATCAGGTGTTGAGCTCGAGAGCCGTTTTTATTCAACTTGAGTGAGGTGGGCAAGCATTCCGACGAATCACGTCCCTAGGGAGAATCCACTCGATATATATGGCAAACTTTTTTTTTACTTTCTCAGTCAGTCAGACCCGTCGGATGGTCAAAGAAAAGTAGCAGAATTCGGTGCTCGAGAGGGGCACTTGAAATCTGGAGAACTCTCCACTCGCAAATCGACCGAGCTCTTAAAACACCGCGAAAACAAAAGATTTATTTTTTGAACGCGTGATTTTTTTTATCCAAGCAGAAACTAACTGTCCGCTCTCTTTGAACTGCATTTCTGCGTACCCGCACAAATGGGATTGGAGAGGTTTAAAGAACTACTTGTGCCAAAGTGGAAAACTTTTGCATTAAGTGACATCGGATAGATATAGCGCGGGTCGAAAGTTGACTGCGGCTCGAATGCACAAGTTGGCAGTTTCCATTATTTCAATCAAAATCAATAAACTCCATCAAGCCCCGCCGCGCATCAGGTAACACTCGGCCGGCCGTAAATAATAAAATTCAATCCACCCGCGTGCTGCAATTAAAAACTTTCATGTTGACGGACGCTGAAGATACGAGTGGTCGTTCACGGGTCCTAAGTGCTCTCTCGGAAAAACCGGCCACTCATATCCAGCACCCAAAAACTTTTTTATGTTGCACAAAGAGGGATAGCCGCTGGAAAAGCTGCTCTCTGGCAATCTCGGTAAATGTCGTCTCCTACGAGGATCGGCCGTGTATTGCTCTCTTTTAAGGCTGTGCCTTGCAAAACATAACATTGTGCAAGGAATTTGCACACCAATATATACCGGTACCCGAAGAGTACTTAAATTGGAAAAATAAACTAAATGCCAAAATTTGTAGATACAACGCGGAAAAGTTTTAGTCTCATTAACAATATTAAGTTATAACAAATTAAAATGCTTGTTTTGTGAATGATTTTGATTCTCCTCGGTTGCATCTTTTACAATAAAAAAACAAAAAAAATCTTTATTTTTAAAAATAAGAAGGGCCCCAAATTATTTTTGTCCTCAGGTCCAACAATATCCCATTTATTTGAAAAATGACTTTAGTCCTGATCTATCTGTGATAACGAATTAATTATGTTTGCTTTGTGATTGATTTTGATCCTTGCGGTTGCAACTATTACAAAATAAATTAATTGAAACAATAAAAACTATTTAATAATCAAAAGGGTCCCCAATGATTGAAGTCTTCAGTTCCCACAAGAATGATATCGTTTTTCACCATTAAAATTTAAGAACTATGAAATAAATCGGAAGAAAGCAAAATAATGAAAAAAAAAAATCAATTTATACCGACAAACTCTTTTAAAATAATGATATTATTTTTTGAAACACAAATCACTAGATAAATCAATTTAACAAATTCAAGTTTAATTTTTGCTTTTGTATGTATTGTTGAATATTTTTTGCTTTGTCTTACAGGAGTGCCGAGACCGGAGTGCAGTTTGGCAGTTCAGCCGCAAGCGGCGTTTCGAAAAGGACGGGGCGGCGCCACGGACTCGAGGTTCAACCCGCGCCGGATCGAGCGGCAGTGTGTGTCTTAGGGCGCGCTCTGAACAACATCCGTCGTGTTCTCCTCCACACCAGCCTCGACTCGTGCCGCCGCTTCGAAACCCGCACGGGCTGCAAAATGCCCCTGTGACCGCCCAAGCCGCCCAGTCCTGACATGACTCTGCCGAGGACGCTGCTCTCGAGGGCCCGTGGCTGCCGGCGCGCCGCCAAGCCCAACCACCTGTCCCTCTTCTACCTTGTCATCATTTTGGCTGAAGGTAAGTGGATATTACCCCAAAAATATTTTACCTTAAACAAATGTTTCGGTTCATCGAATAAATGACATTTGGCAGAAATTTTGCAAATAATTCTTGTTTAATCGTTTTTCGAAAAATCTAAAAAGCTCCTGTCCTGAAATGCAATTACTCCGATTGCCCTGTGATTGCTTTTTGATGCATTATTTTGTGTTTGATTGTTTTTGGTTGGCTCACACAGTCAAAAGAGATTTGCCTAATTCCTGTAAATCACTTTTTAATTAATGGAGTGTCGACGTGAAAATTGCCGAGATTATTAACGAGCCAATCAGCACAAGCACTCCGAGTGGATGGCGCCGCCTCTCTTGCCGAGGGCCGCTCTCCAGCTGTAATTCACAAATAATTATGGGCACATGTTTGAGATAATTTATTGGACTACCCTGAAAGTAAAGTCTGCTTCTAATTAGAGCCCGCCTGAGGGCTGGAAATTTTTTTTAAAAATATAAATCGGCATCGAACTGAGATTTTAGACAAAAAATTTAATACAAATCAAGATTCGTTATTTATATAGAATTTTAAATGTATATTTATGATTTTTTAAATGGTAAAAAAATCTAAAAATGTTATTATCGAATCACTGAAATACCAAATTATGTTCGTAATTAACAAAGAGGCTGTTGAATTTTTGTTTGTGTTCAGAAATATTTAAATTTGAAGGGAAAATATTAAATAGTTATAAGAACTTCAATGGATTTCTTAAATAAAAAAATAACTTTAAAAAATTAGAATAACATTAAAAATTGAATATTATTGCTCTTTTTATAAGAAAAATATAGCAATTAATTAGAAAAGCTGTTATTTACCAAATTTGTAGCAATCACAGGAAACCGTAGAAAAGATTTGATTAAATTTTTTATTAAATCTTTTTCAACACCTAAAAATATTATATTAAAAATAAAATATACGACTTTTCAATCCATAATTTTTGTATTACAGAAAAAGCGAATTTTAAAGGTTTCTCACAACTACTTTTTGGTTGAAATATTTGTGCATTAAAAATTGTAATTACATTTGATTAATAATTAAACAATTAAAATAAGTGCTTTAAATAGAAAAGGCGTGAAATGGCATTTTAAAAAGATATTGTCAATCAATTATGCGGCAAAAGTAGAGATGTATAAGCGCATTTTGAGCTTGCATCAGCGAAATGTCATTATAAACGAGTATCAGAGCAAACTGGGCTGAGGTGTGCGCTCGCGATTCTTAACTGCGCTTCAGCCGGCGCAAGTTAATCATTTCGCGAAATGCAGCTCAGCTCCGTGGCAAGAGAAGACATGGTGATTAATTTAATGCTTTATATTCGCGCTGCTGTTTGCTTTGCATTGCCATAGGATTTGTTTGCAAAGCTATTGTGAGTTCGGAGATGGTTATGAGCAGAACGAGAGCAGAGCATCCAACAAACCGACCGACCAACTCTGCGCAGCGCGAGAGCGGAATGAGAATTTCGAGTGCGATGAGGGACGACCGCATTGCCACATATAATATTCATTGCAAACAGCCGCGGCCGCCCAGCTTCAATTTGTTTAATGTGGGCTCTTTTTGCAATCGAAATTCACAATATTCGCCGCGAGAGTGTGCATCCCTCAAAGGGCCAAGCAAGGCTGCAGCCCTTTGTTCTGCGTAATTACGCGCGCGCCCACCATACCGAATTTGTTTTCGCTCAACTCTTCAGGCCAATTATCGCGTTTTCCGAAGGTCGCCCACCCTCTTTAGTTCTGCCAAACGCACTTAATCAATTCAATTGAATCGAACCAGTCAAAAAGCAAAATTACGCGGACGAAAAGGCAAACGCACGTGAAATCGCCCACGGCTGATCGTTTTATATATTTTTTTATAAAATCTATCAGCGCTGGCAAAAGTGCCTTATAATTTCAAAATTGTTAAATAGCACAATTAATTTAATATTATGGAAATTTTCCAGATATATTTTTCTGAGAGTGGGATTACTCAAAATTTCAAGTGTTTTGAAGAATTTCAGTTTGGTGGATTTTGAAATTTACCTTTGAATAAAATTGTAAATCTTGCTCCTTTTTATTGAGAAAAAGTATTTTGAAATATTTGAAAATAAGTAGAAACTACAAAAAATATGAATGAAATTGTTGAATCGAGAGGAAAAAATATTTAAACTGATTATGAAAATGCATGCGAATTCATTATCACAAAATTTTGTTGGTTCCGCTCAGTTTAAACCAATTTGCCGCATTAAAATATCAAAATATTCAGAGGAATGCCAACAAAGAGCTTTTTATGCTCACGGCCAATTAATTAATTACGTTTTGAGGATTTTAAATTCCTCACGATTTACTGGCTTACGTGTGCGTTTTGCTTCGGTGCTCCAGCAAATTAAAAGCTCTATAGCGCAATTAACAAAAGTGTATCGCGTGCAAAGGTGCGCGGCATTTTTAACCGTGCAGCCACTTTGTTAGATGCTCTTGCGATTTTTATTTTTTTATCATCTGCAACGCATTTGCAAGATTAAAAGATTTAAGCGCGTGCACCAGAAGCTCCGGCGACCGTCGTTATATATTTTCTGCTTCAAGGAATGCTTTGTCACGAAAATCAACACTGAAAGCAATCATGCTGAAACTCTTCCCAAGCGCTCCTTCTGCCGCCACTAAAATAAATAATTTTCTATCGCTTTGCACCGCACCAAGGATATAGTTAAGCTGGCGTTGAGAGCCAGCAGCATAAGCAGAAACATCTTGAGCAGGCGCTCAATTGGCCTCTAATGAAGCCGCGCGCCTCGCGTTGACATAAATATAGTCACACGTATTTTTTTTTTTTTTTTTTTTAGAATGAAGTTGGGAGTTTTTATTTTAATAAGAAAAGCTTGACTATTGTTGGTATGTTGGTATATTCATTATTAATTTCATTTAGTCCGTTTTTGACCTATTTTGGATTTGAAATAAAAATAAAATCCCCTTATAAACATTCTTTAACAACAAAATTAATTGTTATCAAAAATAATATTTATTCAAAACAGGCTGTTATTTAAAAAAATTATCTTTATTGTATTATTTAATTATTTTTTAATTTCATTATATCATCTCTCGTGACCAATTCTTCTCTTAAAAATTAGCAATTTTAAAATGTATAATATTCGACCGTTTCCAAATAATTAATTGTTGCACTTTGAATGGCGCTCTTAAGGCCAGTGGATTTCGTTTGTGTAATAATAAAGTACCTTCAAATTATGTACCTAATTTCTACTTTACATTTAAAATAAACATGTGAATTTTTTGTATATAGATCTTTTCTGCCTCAAAATATTACCAGACCTGGAATAAATAAATTCATGCGCATCTCTCTCGTGAATAAGAAAAGCGGCAATGAACAACCCCTCTCAGCTGCTGCATGAGTGGCTGGATATTAAATGAGTTTCAACCCTTTTGCTGTTTGCGCTGGCAAGAGAGAGCTCTGCTGGCTGCTGCTATCTTCATCAGTCCCCACGGCGAAATCCCCTCTAATAAAAGTGTATAATTTCATTCTTTACACAAGGAGGAGAAAAGCGCCGTGTGCCGGCGTGAGAGGTGAGCGAGTTTGTTGTTATTACGAGCGCGTGCCAGACGCTGGTGCGGAGAGAAATCTGCAGAAATGAGAGAAGATGCGAGAGTTCTCACCGAACGAGACGGCTCGAGTCGCTACTTTTAATTAATTTTCCACTTGTCACGTTCCGCCTAATGCAGGAATGCAATGGAGTAGTTGCGAGTTTCATGAGTGTGTCGCAAGCAAAACAAAACTTTTAGTATAATTTTCACAAGTCAAAATTTCGAGCTTCCTTCCATGCGCATTTAATTTTTGTGCATATTAATTTGTGGAAGTCGCAGCCCCCGAGCTCTATTTAATGCTAACCTACTATTTAGGAATAATATTATATTCCATTCTACATATTTTTACTCGTATTTTATTCATTATATTGTACAGAGAGACGCACGCGCAGAAACCCAAGTTTATTTATCAGAGATTTCGCAAGTTATTTATCATATCACGCACTTTCCGGCTGACAGAACAAACGTCATTGATTCCACGCGGATGATATGATATCGCGGCCCAGTTCAAGGCACCGATCACACCATTCATTTTATCACCATTTTCCTCTTATTCGCTTACATGGTTTTTTTAGGGTCAGGCCAAGACTAAGTCTTGTCGGCCTGTGCCCTTGTTTTGCAATGAGCAAAAGTCCAAATAGTCCAAGTACGATCTGTCTGCTGCCCTCGCGCGACCTCCAACTGCGCGGCTCCGGGCTGGTCGCAAGCACATGCCGATGCTCCGCGTGATCAAATTTTAATTACCACCACTCGCGACTAAAATAAGTTGCTCCGTAAAGGTGAAATTGACAAACAGTAGAATGATAATAATACAGATGGTTCTACTCTAACTCATTCTGGTAGTAATTTAATTTATATTTAATGCTTAAATTAAATTTCAAAATGATCCACTTCATTTCTCCTCTTCCAAATAGAAATAAAATAGCACCAATTTAAAAGTTCAACTTCAAAACTTTTTTGACACGGCACTTAGCACCTTAATGGTTATTTTTTTTTTAATTTAAGACTTTTAGAGAGTGCTTCTAGTTTTATTGAGGCTCATCAACGTTATTGCTCTAGCGCTGCTTCTGGAACCCACCCTCTCGCTCGCTCTCTCACTCAGATTAATAACAATGCGGTCAGCTGAATTGCAGGTGCACATGAGCGAGCAAATACTGCGCTGCAATCAAAACATCAATAATGGCAATAACAAACGGAAGCACCACCAGCCTTTGATCCGAGTGCGCGCGCCCTCCGGCGCTTCTGCCGCGCCTAAATGGCTAGTTGCAAATTGAAGTTTGCAGGTACGGAGAGAGAGACTCTCAGGGCCAACTCTCGTGACTTTCGTGTTATTTTGCTCGCTTCATTTGCAATTTAGATGAGCGTGCTGCTAGAATTAAAAAAAAGCGAGTACCAAAAAAAATTGTTGCTCCGGAA